TGTGCGGCCGAGCCGGCGTCGCTGCACTGCCGCCGTGTGTGCTGCGCCCTGTCTCGCTCGCCTCCCAGGTGGTCCCTGCCCTGTTTGTGCAAGGCTGTGCCCTGCCCCCACCCCCACCCCCCATCACACCCACCACCACCACACACGCATGCCCTCCCCTGCTGCAGGCCCACCATGATTCTATACCAGGTGGATAACATCCGGGACCTGTTTGGGCACAAGGTGTCGCTGTCCATGGTCAAGAAGAACGCCATCTGCCGCCTCGGTTTGTGAGGCCTTGGTGCACCGCCGCTGCCATCATGCTGCGGCATATCGTGGCCAGCTGCCACCAGCAGCAGAGAGCGTTTGCCGGCCTGCACCGATTGCAGAACAAGCTTGCAGCACAGACTTTGTTGTTTGAGCAAGGAGTGATGAAGCAGTTGAACAACAGACAGGACAGGCCAACTGACAGGATACCTTCTATGCCGTTGCGGCAACGGGGGGCAGACTCGCTGCTCTCGGGGGGCGCCGCATCCAGCGGCCGGTCTCTTCCACGCCCCAATGCGACTCGGCCTGCAGAGCTAGCTCTAGCTGCCACCTCTGCTGCCTGCTGTACCGCCTGCTGGGTCCGCTGCCCGCGGCCGCTGAGCAGCATGAGCTGGAGATTACCCATGGCGATGTGGACGGTGAGGCCCCACTGGCAGTACTGCTGGAGCTGCATGGGTCGTAGATTTTAGGTCTGGACTGAGCACGGTGGGTTTCAAACGTGTCCCACTGTTTACAAAACAGCACGAATAAGCCGGAATTTCACCTACTGCGAACTTTTCAATCTTGATAGCCGTTGCACTGTTGCCCCCGCGTGTGCGGGGGCTGCAAGCGTACCCATACTCGAGCGTACTCATACTCGTCAGCAGCGCCAACAGTGGAAATGGCACGCGCATCGCAGCGTCTGTTACAAGTTTGAGCGCCTGCAGGGCCCAGGGAACACCTGGCTAGGTGACCGATTGGGCTCACCGCAGTTGGGCGGTTCCAGCTGCAGCCTCCAGCAGCCTGCAGGCTCCCCCGGCTCCGAGTCAAGCTTCGCATGCTTAATTACCTGCTCGCCTTGGCCGCCCTGGCCTCGGCAGTGACCGGTGAGTAGGGCGGCGAGCACGCTGGCAGAGCCGCGCCCTTGCTAAATGGCTGCATATGTTCTCCGGCCTGCACAAGGCGACGGATGCCTGGCAGACTTGCAAGGCAATGGGCCGCGCCCTTGTGCAAGGCAAACCCTACCCCCGCTTGCTACCCCTGCTCGTCGCCGCGGCAGGGGCCGCTGCCGCTGTGCAGGAGGGCAAAAAATGGATCACCCTTGTGGGCAGGAATGGCTGCGGATCTCGCGGCAAGCTCGGCGGCGGCTTTTGCTCGTGAGTTGCTGCGGCAGTGCCTTGCATGTTTGCTTCGTGACGCACTTGGCTGCTCACCAGCTTGTGGGCCGCCCTGACGGCCACAGCGCACAAGCGTAGATCAGCTTGCGAGTGGCATTTCCGCCCTGGCGAGTGGCAAATCACCTGACTCTTAAACCACCGCCGGCCTGGCCTGCGCCTCCCCCGGGCTGCCGCTGCAGTGAGACTGACGCCCTGTCGGTGTACCCAGAAGGCGGTGGGCTCCGCACCACCTGGCTGATGGATGCCCCCACAGGCAGCCCTGCCGACCTGGTCGGCAAGAACTCTACCATCCAGGTCAGCACCCGCTGGAGGTCCCCACCGCCCCTGGCAGCCGGCCCGCACCGCCGCCCTATCTGCCTTGCACGCACTGTGCATCACCTCATCGCACCGCCGCCCTATCTGCCTTGCACTCACTGTGCATCACATCATCCCACCGCCGCCCTATCTGATTGCTTCGTGTAGCTGACCGGCCGCGTCGCCAACTGCACCTCCAAGTCATTCCTGTCCGCTTCCACCGCTTGCGCCAACATCTCTGCGGGCATGGGACCCAACATGCTGTGGGTGATGGAGGTGGCCAATGCCAGCGCCAGCCAGTACTACATCAGAACCAGTGTGAGCCCTCTGTGCCCCCTACAGCTGTGCAGTGCTGCCTGGTTGCCGGCTTGTTCCACAAGCGTGGTAGCTATAAGGATGATGCCTGCTTGGCTGGCAGCAGCCATGCCCTGCGCTGCGTAGGCGCCTGGCAATGCGGCTCGCTTGCCTCTCCCTCACCAGCTCCCGCCACTGCACCGTGTGGCTGCAGGCGCGTGGCGCCTGCGGGGGTGTGCGCTACCTTGGGGCCCTCCGGGGCTCCCCGCCCCCAAATTGCGGGCCCCCACAGCTGGGTCTGTACAAGAAGGCCAACACCTTGGCGCTGCTGACGTGGACTATCGTGAATGCATTTTACCCACCACCGCCAAGCCCTCCTCCTCGTCCAAAACCTCCATCTCCTCGGCCTCCACCACGCCCAAAGCCGCCATCGCCTCGGCCTCCACCACGCCCAAAGCCGCCGTCCCCACGCCCGCCCTCCCCGCGCCCGCCGCCCAGACCCAAGCCGCCGTCCCCGCGCCCTCCACCCTCGCCCAGGCCACCCTCGTGAGCAAGCTGCCTGCAGACCGCATGACAACTGCTGCACCAGCAGCCTCTTTCCACAGCCCAATTCAGGTTCCTTCCTGCGCGGCTGTTGTGCGCTTCCCCCATCGTGCAGGCCTCCTGCCCCACCCAGCCCAGCACCACCCAGCCCAGCGCCACCCAGCCCGCGGCCGCCTGCAGCTGCCTGCGACTTTTGGTTCCGAGGGTCGGACTATGACAACACCGATGGCGTGAACGGCGGCGTGGTCAAGGGCACCGCCCATTACGCCTCCACCTGCGCCACCAACTTGACCATCAGCGAGCCATATGGCATCCCCTACAGGTCGGGCAGCCAGCTTGCTGCAGGCGTGCGCGGTGGCCGTTGCGCGCCCAGCGCTTCAGCGGCCACGGGACCCCACCCCCCACCATTCTTGCCCGTCTGCTCTGTTGCTCCTGCCTGCGGTCCACTGCTGCGGCTGCTGTTGCCGGGTGAAACCTGCCCGCACGCTTGCCTGCCTGCCCGATCGTGATGCGATGAGGTGCCTGCCCCCCTTCCTGGGGTATGTGTCGCAAGTCCCCCTGCCGATATGCAGACTGTACACAGCAACACACGATTACCTGCTTGCCGCTCCTGCCCTGCAGCACTGATTATTCCATGAACTGCTCCGAGGCCCCTGCCGGCCCCGCCCAGGTGTCGACGCTGTCTTTTTGGGACTCGCTCGTCCTGGTGCCTTACAACTTCTGCCCCTTCGACATGTCGCTCCTGAACAACCCCTTTAGACCAAACAACCCTGCCAACCGCGTCAAGCTGACCCCCACCGCCGCCGTCACCATTCGCTCCATGTATGCATTCGCTGGCAATCTCCAGTTCCCGAGCATTTTCCGCCTCACCTCCTCCACCGGTGACGCAGCCAACATCACCTGCACCACCCGCGAGTGTGTTTCCAACTTCGAGCCCCCCGTCCACATCCCCGCCGGGGGCTACGCCACGCTGGAGCTGGTGCAGGGCCTCTCCCGCAGGAGCCCGCCATGGCAGTACACCAGCTGGCCGATGGGCGAGGTGTACCGCCTGTCAGAGGTGCTTAGGCAAGTGCCCTCGCCTCCTTTGCTGAGGGGGCTGCTGGCTGGCAGCTGGGTGTGGGCACCGGAGCGGCACCGCCTGGCGCAGTTTGGGGCCCCTCAGCCTCTCCAGCCCACCTGGTGCCCCGACCCACATTCGCCACCCTGTGCCTGCAGGCCCCTCGATTGCAAGTACGACATGATGGCCACTGGCAGCACCGACCCCACCTCGCAGACGGCGCCCGGCAATGGCAACAACAACGGCTGCTACAGCAGCCTGACCGTCACTGCGCCCTACGCCCCCGCCTACAGCGCCACCTACTCCACAAACTGCTCAGACCCTGCCGACACCACTGTGGGGCCTGCCCAGGTCTACACAGACCAGGACTACGGCCTGGCCCTGGTGCTGGCGGACAGCTGCGCCCCCGACTGGCAGCAGTACTACAGCTCCAACAACCCCGCCGCGCGAGTCGCCCTCGTGCCCACCAACACCACGGGCGCCACGGCGCTCTGGAGCCTGTACTTTGAGTATTACTACCTGGACTACACCAAGACCTTCACCTTCCGCCTCACCTCCTCCTCGGGCCAGGTCGTGGATGCGCCCGTGACGGAAGGACAGGCGGAGGATGGGTACGGCGCCGTTGGCTTCCCTGAGCCGCTGCTCATCCCCGTGGGGGGCAACGCCACAATCGAGGTGGTGGGCGCCACGCCAGAATACAGCCCGGTACGCTGCTTGTGTGTGCATTTTGCTACTGTGGTGCCATGCATGGGCCATATGGGCTGGCTGCACAGCCGCAGCTTGCCTGCGGCCTCAGGCCTGCAGCCATGGGCTAGCAGACATGCGTGCTGAGCATGCTCACCCAACTTGACCC